ATTAAACTATTTACTATGTTGTGGAATAATGGACTTTTTGTATTGGAGTAACCTCAACTTTCCAACATGAGCATTGATACTGTAAACACTCTCACACGCACTTCTTTGCTCACCTGAGCAGTCTGTCTGAGATGACACAAGTGAGTAAAGTTAAGTGTGTGGGTAAGGGTTTGCTGGTTTGGGGCTATAGTCTCTTCATTCATCATCTGCTCTGGTGAGTGAGTGGGGCAAAGCCATATCTTCTGTTCGTATAGAATGTGTGTCTTAACATAAAAGTACTAATGGAACTTAGCTGATACAAAGGTTACAGATTTATTCATGTAACTGTTCAGTCCAGAAGGGGCCAAATTCATAGCAATAACCCTTATGTAGTGATAGCATACAAAGTATGTACATACTCTCGTATTTCAGCCATAATGAGCCAGAAACCTTGTGAATTTCTAAAGTCATGTAAACAACTCTACTAAAACCATTTTAAAAAGTAACCCATTAAGCAAGATCAGAAGACTTCATGCCCAGTGAGTATTGCAATTAATTGTGAATCCTCAGCGCCTCTTCTTCCTGGCAATGATTTCCATAAGTTAGTCAAGCTGTTGAAAACGTGTCAAGTAGGTATTGCTGCTTTGAGGGAACCTCAGTTTGGCAGGGCTCAGGACTGCTACTTTTGCGTCGTGCAAGAAATGAAATATGCTCATAGATGACTTTGCCAAGATGAAACTTTCCTACTAATAGGTAAAGTACCAATATTTTTTTCTGATCTCCTATTAGATTATGGAGGCACTGGCTGCAGCCCCAAAGTAAGGTTGAATTGTGTTTTGCACTTAATACTATTATGTACTTCACCACTATCTTGGTGCCTAATTAAAAATGTACATTCTAGCTTGCAGGCACTCATGTAGTAAGACATTAATGAAACATCTTCGAGGATGAGGGACCATAGTCCTCCCCAGAAGAGTCACTCACTGAACACTCTTGAGGCTCCGCTCTGAAAGCTGTTCTAGGCAGGCAGGCAGGCAGGCAGGCAGATTCACAAGCCCCACTGAAATCATTACGGGTTCATAGGGACTTGGCCGTGTGGCTTAAAATGTACTTATTTCTTTCCTTGGAACGTTGGAGGGATTGAAGCTTCCAAATAGCCATAGGCCTTCCTCCTCTTGAAATTGCTACTCACCCAAGCTGGTCATGTAGGAGCTAGAGATATGCAAAACATTTGAAAGAGGGGGGCGGAACAGATTTACTGACGTTGGCTTCATTAATGAAGAACAAAAGCAAAGGTAATGGAATCTTCCAAACATCTTATTGGCCAACATTAGCTTGAGAAATTGTATTTTCCAGATCACATTTGCCTTTCCTGCAGCTGATATAGCATCCTGAATTATCTTTATACTCTTTTTTTAACTGAAGGGCTACTAGGAAATTTTAAAAAGGGAAATAAGATTTTGCATTGACTACAAATTCTCTTTGTCTATTGCCACAGTTTTGTAGTGAACCAAATGCTTTCTGTATAGATTTGTGTACATGTCTAACATGCACATTGTTTCATTACTCCACTTGTCCCCACCTATGACTTTTAGCCATATTGCCTTTTCCCTCCTTTGTGGATATGCATGTTTGTTAAATACTGTGGACATAGGCCATGATTCTCTTAATTTTATTTAAGGTCATTGTTTTGTAGATGTGGGATATAAATATAAAACAAATTAACAAAGCACCTTGAACTTCTATTTTTTTGTTTTCTTGTAATCATATGGTTTAAGTAAAAACTTGTTTTTTGACCAGGATCCAGATCCTCACAGGTATTTAGGCACCAGAGCCTATATACCTGTGCAGATCTGGGCACAAGTGCCTTAAAACTGGACTCTGGAATAATATATGTATTCAGATTTTCATTAAAAGAAATCCTTGTCCCTATATACAGTGTGTCTTCTTTTCAATGCCAGGCATAGCTTATGCACCTTAGCCTTGACATAAACCACCTATCCCTTAAAGTTTTTGAGGTATGGGTTTATTCAGCTCCGTAGACTCAAATCTGCCTTTACTGATTATTGTGATTTGTTTACACATGGTTTACTTTTCAAAATCAAAGGAATTTCCTAGATCAAGATGAGTTAAATCTCACTCTTGGATTCAAACACAGTGCCAAAATTGTTCAGGTTTACTTAAGACTCTTCTCACTGAACAATAACCCATTAAGAAGCACTGCATTTGTATTGTAAAACTCCCATCACAAAACAGAGCTACAGAAAGGGGGGTTCTGGGCTGCACTGTTTCTTCCTAATGAAGAAACAAACTGAATTATTTCGATAGTGGCCCCCTAGGCAGGTACAACACATTACAAAGAGCAATCTAGTTTGAATCCTATTTCTGAGATTTTTTTTACCCACTTGTCTCTTCAATTAAATTTCTAGGCAGTTTTCATTGTTAATTTCTTCGGGCAACTCAGCCATAGAGCTGCATCACTGCGAACTCAGATGGTATCACAAGTTGCAAAGTGAGATGCACAAATGAAAAAGACGAAAACTGACTTTTTGGAGAATGGGAGGGAATGTTCAATCTCAAGAGAATTTGCATCTATCCAAAAGTCATGCTTTAGCACAGTGGTTCACAAACTTTTGTACAAACTTTCGCACAGCAAGCCTCTGAGTGCGACCCCCTGGATAAATTAAAAACACTTTTAAATATATTTAACACCATTATAAATGTTGGAGGCAAAGTGGGGTTTGGAGTGGAGGCTGACAGCTCGCGACCCCCTGAGGGGGTTCTGACCCACAGTTTGAGAACCCCTGCTTTAGCAGATGAAAGTGAGGTAGTATTTTGCCAGGTGCTGAGTACTATCTGCAAATGTCAAGAGTACAGATAGCACATCTCTGCAAAGGGCCTTCCTTGTCTCCTAAAGTCCACTGAAGATTTTATTTAAGCCTTAGACTACCAGATTAATAACACCATTCAGCTAATACAGATGAGTATGTAGCATGTTGTTAACTGGCCCCCCCCAAAGAATGCAACTGCCCCCTCAGCAAACTCACTTGGACAAGCATCCAAACACATTTGCAGCTCATGAATGCTCCTACATCCATTCTGACAAGCATCACCTTCAAAATGTGAGCTG